TGGTTTATTTATGGTCAAGTTTTTTAAGTATGTCAAGTATAATTAGGAAAGGTTTTTCTTGGTTGCATGTCCCATATACTGATATTAAATGAAAGCTTTTCAAAGCTTCTATACTTTCTAATGTTTTGTTTGTTTGACATCAGTTTGAAATAAAGATGTGCTCAAATCTCTGATTGCAATCGCAGGCTGCGTTGTTGCATAGATTGTCAGGTGTATACAATCCGAAGATGAGCTTGTCTCCTTGCTGGGTTGCATCTTCAGCCATATCGTCCTCTTGATCTGTGTGCTATTGCTCTGAATGTGGGTTCTATTCTTTCTCCTATGAACATAGCAGCTTTCAGATGTCAGTATTTTCATGGTATATCCTTTACATAGCTTTATTTTCCAACATCCTTTAGGATATTATGTTGTCTTTTATAATCAGGATATATGTAGACTTTTTTAATATGTGAACTTTTAAAAGTTCAATGAAATGATCTATATGTTTAACTGTTTATTAGGAGTATAACTTATAACAGCATGACATTCACTTGTCAATAATGTACACTGCAGTAGTTTTTAGTGTACGTGTTGACAGAGCTGTACAAACAATCCCGTAGTCCAATTTTGGAGCACTCTCATCATCCTCAAAAGCCACCTGGTATCTGTTTTTGTCACTTCTCATCAATAAAATCTTTTATTTAATATCAGTATATGGGACATGCAACCAAAGAAAATCTATCTTAATTATACTTGATATACTTAAAAAACTTGACCATAAATAAACCAACACAAATTTCTATATATAACTACATATTTTACAAATGTTATTCTTTTTAAAGATCATATATTCTGCTATCAAATTAACTAAAAGATTAATGCTTGACATGGTAGCACACACCTTTAATAGCAGAATTCATGAGGCCAAGACAAAAAGATTAAGAGTTCAAGACCAGCCTGGATTATCTCAAAAACAAAAATAGATTGGATGCTAGTAAAACACACACCCATATGTAGTCATTAAAAATACATGTGTATGGGGAGAAGACACTCTCTCAGGCTTTCACAGAGAGCACATTGGCCAAGCAATGGCCGTGACTCATCCACATGGCTGCCCTGTAAAGGTTCTACAATCTGAGGTACAGGATCTCAGGACAAATCGTGAGGGCATTTCACTGACCTTCTCAGACCAAAAAGCTACAATTCTTGTTGCACAGGTCCTGCTTTACCTTGGTCTTAACCATCCGGTAGAAAAGTATGAAGACCAAATATTAGAAATAAAGCCATGCTGTTAAGTTGAGCTGTGGGGGACTCAGGTCAATAATTTCTGACATTGCCAGTTAAACAGAAGACCCAATGCTATTATGGGCTACTGGACTCTTTTAGAATATTTTGTTGAGTTTACACACCTATAATATTCAATAATGGAACTTAGAAAAAATGGAGTATACCGATGAATGTCCATTTTGTATCTGTGTATTCAAAGAAGTTGGGATAGATATATAGTTGCATTCTCTTAATGAATAGAATGATTTGTTCTAATGGTGTTTGTAAATAGGATCACAAGTCCGCATCTTGTACAGCAATTAACCACTAAGAAGAATACACGCAGTGTATTATTTGTTGAAACTGTACTTCCGATTTGATTTGAAACTGTCTCATTGCTATCTGTTTATCAATAAAACTTTGAAAAAAAATACATGTGTATTACAAACTGTAGAATATATATGTAATTGTCTATTTCTATCTCAGGTCTGGGCAACCACTTCCTTTTTGCCTCTAATTGGTTGCCAAGATATTTCTTATACATAAATAGGGTCATACGGTATGTGGTTCTTAGAGCTGCTTCTTCACTTAGCATTATTTTGAGATTTATCCATGCAGTTTGTATCAGTCCCATCTCTGTAATTTACCATAATTCCTGAAATGTTTTCTCTTTTACCTACTGTCTTTATTTATTTATTTATTTTTCTGCCTATTATGCTGTTTCTTAGTCTCCTTTTCCTTGCGTTTTGTTGGGCTGATATAGCTATGTTCTCAGTTTTCAGCCCTTTGTTATCTGGAAGCTATTACTGTGTTGGTACTGTTAAATTTTAACATATTAGTTGAACTAAATACAATGTCAGTTTTATAGGTAAACCATATTTGCGATTTCACCTGATGTTGGAGACACTTCCTGGACCTCGTCTTGGTCCAAGAAGCCAATATTTATAATCCCAAAGTTACGTTATTGGAATCCCATCAAGTTGATTCCAATCTACCACTTACAATGTAACCCACGGAGATAATAAAGACACTAAATTACATTTTCAGTCATTGGGGAGTCAAGGGGCTCTAAGTCCAGCCACAAAGATGGCTTTCTGGAACCAAGAGAGTGACCCATGAACTCACCCTGACCTCACCCCGTTTTTATGCAGTGGGGGAGTGGCTTGAGGAGGATTGACTGAGAATTGTGGGAAGTAGGTGACCATTGTGAGCTGAGCTAGGTGGGTGGCCTACATTTACCTAAGGCAAATTGATAAACAGAAGTTCTAGCCAGCTCTGTACATAGGAAATAGGGTCAGGCTCAGTCAGAATGGAGACAGTCACTCTTCTTTCAAGGAGAGCTGCTCAGGTGGTCCTCCACAATCTGATTTATTTTACAATGCATTTAATTATAAATTTTAAATAATGTTAATTGATTTTCATAATGAACTTAACGTGCCTTGTCTATTCTCTTATTATTGCATGGAGTTTTAGTTTTGTCCTTCTGAAATATAGATGCTGAAGTTAAGATTACCTGATGGCTTGCTTGGATATACTTTGTTAACTTCTATGTTCACTCATGTTTCTTGGGACTCCCTTCTGAGTAGCTGTTTCTTTTAGCTGAGGCACATCCCCTAGTAGTTGTTTTGCTCAGGCCTGTAAATGGCAGATCCTCCTGGATTATTTGGCCAAGTAGAAAATTCCAGGTTAAACATTACTTTTTTTAAAAAAACATTTTGAAGATGTCATTCTGCTGCCTTTTAGAATCTTTTCTTTTCTGAGACAGTGTGCTGTGCTGGTCTTGACTTCACTACATGTAGCCCAGGCTGACCGCAGATGTGCTGAAATCCTCCTGCCTCAGTCAGCCGAGTGCCTGGCTCATGAGCAAGCACCACCATGCGCTGCTCTTCCAGTGTCTGTTCTTGCTTTTTTTTTTTTTTTTTTTT